ATCTACTCTAACCTGTATAATTACTTTGAAAAGTGTAATGTCTTTCATATGATTATAATGGTTTCCAGTTTTACTTTAGCATGTTTTGAGAAAAGGGAGAATAATGACATAAATGGTATTTTTAGATGGAAAATGTGCCGTATCATTAAAATTATAAAGTTTTTGGTACAATAGATAACAGTAGTGTTGAGAGGAAACATTAGGCTTCTTGATGCATAAGTTTCACTAACATGAGAACAGTCTTTCGCCAGATATTGCTCCTAAAAGAAGGAAAAGTAGCATGAAAATGGTGACAAAATCCCAACCCGCCTCGGTTTGCTTAGTAACAATACAAATGAATGGAGGTTGGGCTACGCCCACGCACCCGTTTCCAATCCCTTTCATTTACTCTATTATCTATGCCGTAAGGCGGTACGACCTCAGTGGCCTGGTTCCTGTTAGGGTTTAGGAATGGCTGTTTCTACCTCGGTTTCTACTCGAGCTACGAGAAGAGTACTTCATTTAGGTGAGTGAGAGTAGTTAGTAGGGTTGCTGTTTATGATGAATGATGCCTTTTAGATATCAGTCATATGAAGTTAGTAAGAGATGTTTTGAAGGAAAGCCACTTCATTGATGTTGACTGGTTTGATCTTGGAGTAGAATTAAACCTGCCTTATTTTGATCTGGCAAACATCAGAGCTAGATTTACTGATCCTTCTCAGTGTTTACTGGAGTGTTTGAGCTTGTGGTTGACTTCATTTGATCGTACCATGTATGATCGTACTTGGGAATCATTAGCTAGTGCACTTGAGAGAATGAATCAAAAACCAGCTGCTACACTCATCCGTAATACATGTAAAGTTAATATACATAAATACAGTTTAAAGTATATTTATTTTTTATAGATGATGATCCTGCTAGTCAGATATTGCAGCATTACAGTGATAGAATATCACAAGTATCTCTCACTGATAGTTGTATCCAGTTGTTATATATAGAAGAATTAATCACTGAGGATACACAAAGGAAGATTGAGAGACGTGGTGGCTCATTAAGTGATACATTAAGAGAATTAATGATAGCAGTATCTGATGATCACAGTAAGCTGAGGTCACTAGGAAATATATTAATGGAATTAGAAGAAACTAAACCTTTAGCACAAGATATTATTAAAGATTGTGGTAAGAGTGACAGTATTTTACTAGACTAACTGTTATTATTAATATTTTTCATAATAGATGAAATGATTCATAGACCAGTGACCACAGCTGTTGTTAGGCCAGTCACCAGTGGTACAGTCAATCATTTACGTACTGCAAATACAACAGTATCAGCTTCAGGTATATGCTCTTAGTCTTAACTCAATTTTCATAATATTTATTATTAGCTGGTAAGTTCTTTTTCAATGCAGCACATCAGTCTATGTTTGATGACATCAGAGGAAGTTTTATTATTGTTATTGATGAGCTGGTTCCATTAATATCTCAATCAAAAGTATTCATTCATGAAATGAAGTCATTTCTTCAACGATTTTACCCAGAACTGAGTGCTAAGCTGTCTGATGCTGATAGCATTGAAGCTATTATAAATATTGCAGTCAAGAAATGCCGAGTAAATAATATCTCAATAATAAAAGCAATTGTGAAACGATTTAAAATTACTGAAGCGAAACCACTCATATCAGAATATGAAAAAGAAGTGAAGACAGTTTGTGGATCATTGAGGGATTTCCTTAGTCAGAATCAACCTGAGCATTTTCTCATTTTTGAAACAATTCAGTTTACTTTGGGATGGGAAGCAGATGAGCATTCAGTTGATGACATACGTAATCTCTTAGAGGAAGCATTTAAAGAATTAAACAAGAGAATTATTGTACAAAGCATTTATCAAGGTAGTTACATATAGATTTTATTTTTAATATGTTGTGATAAGTTAATAGTATAAGATCATTCAAATTATTTATTTGACATAGGCGAACTAGTAGATAATGAATTGAATTGGCATATTATCCCCACTGAAGCAATCTTAATTAACATTATACTAAGATAATTATTAAAAACTATATATATATATACTAACAGATTCAGTATATGGATAGTGTAAAACTTATTGCAAAGTCATCTTAAGGCTGGTTTACAATGTTGCGCAAGTCCTGACATTACGTTGATGCAGGAATAGAATTTGGTTCTATTCTAGTGGAAAGTATGCATCAAAAGGTCAAATCGCCCATGCTTTTGATTAAAAATTGATGTTACGTTGGCCTAATGTCATATTGTAAACTAGCCTTTAGTACTGAGTGACCTCATTGTGTCATTGGTTTTAACTTTTTTGAGTATAGGAACCCAGGAGAAGAACAACAAAAAGGCTGAGGATCAAGTTTTGTTGCTACAGGAGAAAATTGAAAGTATTCAAAAGCAACTGGATGGTGAAAAGGAGCTGCATGAAAAAGAGAAACAAGTTAATGAACAAGTTACAAAGAAATATGAAGAAGAATTATTTCAACAGAAAAGAGAACTCATTAAAAATGAAGAGAAAATAGCAGCACTTACTCAACAGCATGAGGAAGTTACTCGTCACTTGAAACACAAGTCAGAACAATATGAAGAATTAAGATCAGGTTATAATTGGCCTCGCCCAGCTTTGCGTAGGCGAGGACTAGTTGTTATTAGCAATTATACTGTTTATTGATACTAGCTTTTTACTATAGACAATGAACTTGCTCATAAACAACTTGAGCAACTTCAAAAGGAACTAAAAGAAGAGAGACAATCATTCTCCAGTCTCATGCAACAGAAAGAAGTTGAGCTAAACCAATTCAAAGATTACAAGGAAGCATCAGTTCAGTGTGAATACACTAATACTCAGTCAGGTGTGTGTATGTGTGTGTGACGTGTTTGTCATGTT